TGCGGTATCATTTTCTGGGGTTGGTATCTCATTGTGCAAAATATTTGATGTAGTGCAGGGTTAACACTGAAAAGCTCAGCAGTGTTTACAGCCAGAGCTGGTTAGTGCACAGGAACTTGGAGCAAAACAGCCCTCCTTGTAGGCAAAAAGGGAACATGAGGCAACCTGCCCTGGGCAACTGACCTCAAGTCATGTGTGTTTATATATAAAGTGGCCTATAAAGCAGTGAAAGCATAGAAGGGACTTTGGAAAATATACAACTTCTACTACCTATTTATTTAATTACTTAAATTATTATTTTATTTTTCCCCCCCAATCAGTTTTGTGGATCATATGTTTCTCTTTCCTCTACTTGAGTTGCAATCAGTTAGAATTACCATGTTGTTTTTGTAGTTAACACTTTCAGAAACTGTTGTTAGTGGTGTTTGTGTTTGTTCCTTTGCTCATCCAAGTGGAACACTTCTTATTAACCATTTCATTGCTGGCATGTTTGGTGTGTGAGAGTACAGGGAAGGCACGAGGGTGCCTGAAGCTCCTTGTGAGCACTGCGGACTTACGTAAAAATATTGGGTGGTTTTGTGATTAAAAGGAGAGATTACTTTCAGTGCAGATGAATGCCAAGCAGTGAGGAGGGGGACAAAACAGACTTCTAGGCAAAACCATGCCTATAGCAAAACACAGAACAGCTCCTGGACAGTGACTGGTTCCAGACTACATGTTACTGCTCAGGAAAAGGGCACTGAGTTTGTTTTGGATAGTTTTCTGCAAACAGCTGCTCAGTACTAGTGTTTTAAAAAAAAAATAAATCAGAAATTATTATAGAAAAGGAGTAGACAACAAAAGAGAAGGCTCAAATATTGTGCCACATTATAAATCCCCATCTTGGATATTGTGTGCCATTTTGGACCCTGTTCCAAGATTTAATAGAAGAGGAAGAGGACTGGAGAAGAATGACAGGCTCGGGCTGCCTTCTGGAAGAGAAAAGGGTAAATAAGATTGGAACTACTCAATCTGTAGGATGGATGTGGTGAAAGGGATGAAGAAAAGATGTATGTTGCAGAATTTACTGCCAAAAGATACATCAGAAGACAAAACTGTAGTGGTTTCAAAGCAAGGTGCACAATTGCATGGGGAAAAAGGATTTGATTACATGGGTTTGGGTGCAGGCTATGGTTCTGGCCTTGCGAATTTTAGACATCGTTAAATTTCTGGTGGCTGGCACTGGGGAAGATACTCAGACAGCATCGTTCACACCTCCCATCTTCTTAGCCTTGTTCCTTAGACATCTCAGCGAAGCCTTTCAGAAACAACTCAGTCAGACAAACCTTTGAATTCGGAGTACCACCACAGGTACATGTGTGCTCAAAAAGAAATGTGCAAAAGAGGCTTGTCTGTTCTTAGAGCACCCATTTGGATTTGTCCCCGGTATTGTTGCAGGGAGGGGAGTGTTTGTACTCCAGGCTCACTGTGTAAGCTAAACTGAACTTCTCCAGAATTTGGGAGAGAGTAATGGTGTGGCAGGAGTAGCTTAGAGAGGAGCTTGGGATTGCAGCTCTTGGATTGTTGTGAAGTTGTGTGTTACCTGCTTTGGTTTTAATTCTATTTCTCTAGATGTCTGGCACCGTGCATTTTAATTGTTATCCCGCTTGTGGTTTGGAGAGGTTGCTTTTTTGTGTCTTCTGCCAGTGTGATGGGGATAATGATGATACTTTTCCTGTTCTGCCCTTCTTCCAGCTACTGTATTTTGTGTCTGTCTGCCTTCTGAATAAGACTAGTTCCTTTCTTATCTGTTGCACATGGCTTTTTTCTTTTTCTCTGAGAGCAGCTGTATGAAACCGGTGACTGTTAGCAGGTTTTGGTCTGCAGCTGCAAAACTAAGTAATCCTTTTAATTTCATTTTGCATCTGTTCAGTGAAGCTCTGCCCAGTAGTGGTATGTCTTTGCCTTTGAGAAGATCGTACTACATTAATTAACAGTCTGCAGTTTGAAGGTTTATTTGTAACTATGAGAGCTGTTTGTTTACCTCTTCATCATGGTTCTACAATAGTTGACAACATTCAGGGTAAACTGTTTTTTTCCAAGCCCTTATTTTTTTTAGAAGGCTCAGTTTGAAAGGAGAGGGCTGTGGTGGCTTGTTTGTCGTTGATATGCTATCTCCATTAACGTATTAAAATGCAGAACTGCTTTTGCTTTGCTATGAAATTTTAAATTACATTTTAAAATGCAATTAGCGTGAAAATAAGGTGTAGAGGGTCACAATCATGCAGCAATAAGAACAAACACGTTTTAACTCTGTCGATGCCGTTTTCTAATCCGTCCCAGCTGGCCAAATCCCCCTGCGCAGAGGTGCGGCTTCTGAAGCCAACAGGTTTTTGTTTCCAGTCTAAGTATCCTAAAAATGCGTTGACAAGATTGGATGTAGGAGACTTCTTCTTCGGCAGCTGTCCCTCGTTTGTGGTTTGAAACTGCAACAATTGACAAGTGCAGACTGAGTTTATACAAAAACTCAGACGGTCTCTTGCTAATTCAATCAGCATGAAAAGTGGCGCGTGGTGTTTACATCTTGGTCTCTCTTGCCAAAAGTCTTGTCTCTCAAAGTGTATAATCATTGCCTCTTGCATCTCAAAAATAATTTTCTGGTATGTGAGTACGTCTTTGGAAGTACAAGTCGTGGGAAAAGCTCTTACACAAATTCACTGACTTTTTTTGGCTTAGTCTAGTCTATTGTGCTCTGCTGGTTCTCTGCGTTTTGCACTATGGCTCAGACAGAAGCCGTATCATCTTACACGGGGGTGATTTGGGTTGTATTGATTTCTCTCGCCGATGAAAAAACAAACCACTGTGGCCAGTGATGCCATTTCATCTTGTCTTCCTGCAAATTCCCTTTGGATGGGGTTCTTCTACAGGAACGTAATCAACATAGTGTGGTTTACAAGGGAAAAGTATCAATAGCATTCCTTAGCAATTTCATATTTGGTATGCTTGAATTTTTTTTGATTCTGCTGAAATGCAAAAAAGGTATTTGGCAAACAGTGAAAATTTTAGGAATAAATGTGAAGCTTCTGTTACAATATAAAATATTTTTTTCATTTAATTTTGCTCACCTCTTTTGTCTCTGAGACTGATTCCAAATTAAACTCAGTTTCTGACTCTTCAAACAATTGAAAAAACTTGAGTTGTCTTTAATTTCTTCACAAGTGATATGGTGAGAGGATTAAATCACTAATATAACAAGAAACACTTTAAAAAGTAAAATAAAGCCTTGTTATTGTAGAGTTCCTTTGACAGACAACTTGGCCTACTTGATCATAACACATTTATAATCAAAGATTTACTGATTATAAAAAAAAATTTTTACAATATTTGAAATAAAGACTGTGTTTATATCTGAAGGCAGTTTCCGAAATACAAACAGAAAAACTTACTACGTTCTAAATTTTAATTTCATTAGTCTTTTACTGTTCCTCTCCTATTTCATATGGGTCAAACTAAACAATATTTGAATATGGTTAAAGTGTGGAGATACAGGATATTCAGGTTATCTAGGTGACCCTTTTAATGTCTTCACTGGTCCCACAAGTGTTCAAAGTATCTTGAAAAAAAATAAAAAATTAAAAATCAATGCATTGCATGTTACAGCTTGAAAAATATTGCTTCTTCAGAAAGATAATGATGAATTTAACAAGATCCATCAATGGTGTCTGATGAACAACTTATATGTGCTTTAACTGCTTTTTAAGGCAGCATATGCATGATGTTCAGGGGGCCGGTTAGCTCAGTGGTTTGAGCGCGGTGCTGGCAACAAGGACCAACACCAAGGCCGCGGGCTCGATTACCCCTCGGTCCCCTTGTGTTGCCAGGTCTAGTCGAGAGGTGGCATCCCTGCCCAAAACAGGGAGGTTGGACTAGATGATCTCTGAGGTCCCTTCCAGCCTAGGCCATTCCATTCCATTCCATTCTGAAGTACCTGTTTGTGATGTCAGGGCTGTGGCATTCCAGGAGATTTTAACAAAGCCTCAGACCTCAGTTTTGAGGAAAAGGCTTTCAAGACACTCCAACACATTTTTCCAACATTTTTAACCCTACTGTCCCCTCCCCCATGCACACTCCATTACTTGAGATTTCATGTGGAGACTTTAACATACAGATGGATTATAGATTGGAGACGTTCTCTTATTTTCTGTAACAAATGCTAATTATAGGATATAATGTTTCTAATGTGGAATACAGAAAAACCTGTCCCTTCTGTGTCACGAGGAATGAGCTGTTTACTTGCGTGCTTTCAAATTCTCTCTATTTAAGTGACTGGGCACGAGACCAGAAAGCCATCCTGCTCTGTTTGCCAATTCTAGTATCAAAAATTGTTTGTACTTGAGAAATACCTCATTGTCTATGAATCCATTAGAATATCCATCACTGCATGGGTCTTGTTTCCTTCTCGCAGAAGTACAGTCTGTATTTCTTGGTTTCAGTTTTCCTTTAAACACTATACAATCTTGTCAATCAAGTGCTTTATTTGACGTATTTTGAGTGTTGCTTTCTTCTGTGTATTAACTTCTTGTGGCATTTGAAACAAAAGGCTTCTGCTTTCTCTTAGTTTTTTTTCAAAGGAAAATTCTCAGTCGTTCAATCTTGGTGCTGTTAGATAACTTAAAAACGTTTGAAAGCAGGAAAGCAGAGCGTTAACCTACTAAAGTGCCTGGGTGTGAGGGATGTTAAAAAGACCTTTCCCTTCCTTCTAAAAATACGTATATGATTGCCCTGTTTGGCTTGCTTAAAATGTGTTTTCTCACAACTATAAGATGAATTTGTTGTATCCCTCTATCACTTGAATTTTGCTCTGTGCACAGGGTCTATTTCAGTAACTTCCAGGGGACTGAGTTTCATGTTTCCTGTGTGTTCTTAATATGACCGGTGTGTGCTCATGCTAACAGGGATTTTGAAACTGCTGAGCTAATAAAAGGTGATCAATAGAATGTTATTGTTTAAACTCTTTCCAGGTACATCCACCTTTATGGAAGCATTAGCAGCCAATGGTACAACCAACATCCAAACCTCTGTGACAGGAGTGACAGCCAGCAAACGGAGGTTTATTGATGACAGAAGAGATCAACCTTTCGATAAAAGGCTGCGCTTCAGCGTGAGACAAACAGAGAGCGCGTACCGGTACAGAGACATTGTTGTCAGGAAACAGGATGGATTCACACACATTTTGCTATCCACAAAATCATCGGAAAATAATTCACTAAATCCAGAGGTCAGAACAAATCTGATCTTGTTTTTTCGGGGAGGGGGAAAGGTGCTGAGGGAATTCTGTGTCGGTCTCATTTCTGCCTGTTATTCGGACACGAGCATATGCTAAACGCAATTCAGACTGGTGCTTGTGAGAAGTTACACATACAACTGAAATTAAGTGTAATTCATTTGAGCTTTAACAACGTTATCTGAACGTGTAGATGTCCTGTCTCTTAGATATGTGGCAAGTCATGAATTGCAACTTGAAACAAGCTTGAATTAAAGTTCTCTTCTTTTTTTTTTTTTTCTCCTTCCCTGAACTGGTTGCATATGCCATCTGCTGTCCAAATTACAGAAATGCCATATTAGTGCTTTAGTTACAGATAACTTATAGTTTTCTTAATGATTTCATTATCTTAGTTTAATTACATTTTTGAAATGCAAAGCTTCTAATACTTTTTAACTTTTTCTAATTTTGGCATCATGGAAGAAGTTAACTTTTCTAATATGATGGTTGAGCAGATCCTAAGGAAAAATTAAAGATGTTGAACATTTCATGGGGAGAGGAGGGGGCGAGTACAAGATGTTACTTTTTAATGAAGTAATAAAAAAATTTTAATGAATTTTTGATTTTTCAGGTAATGAAGGAAGTCCAAAGTGCACTGAACACAGCAGCTGCAGATGACAGTAAACTTGTGCTCTTCAGTGCAGTCGGTAGCATCTTCTGCTGTGGTCTTGATTTTATTTATTTTATACGACGTTTAACAGATGATAGAAAAAAGGAAAGCACTAAGATGGCAGAAGCTATTAGGTATGTAAGACTGTCGTCAGTCAGCTGAGCGGGTATTCTTTATCGTGTAGTCTGGCCTGGTTTATCTTTTTTATTTGAAAAAGTTCTAATTCAACAAGATCTCGGGCATTCACCCATTGTGTGATATAGTGTGCAGCACTTCTTTGTACTTCCTCTCCCTTTCTGTTTGGGTTGTCATTTCATGTATATTACTACTAAAATTTAACTATGAAAATTGGCAGTATGGTAATACTCCTCCAGCTGAAACCAATTTTGATAGACTTAAACATCCATGGGGTTTCAGGAAAACAAACTTCACACACACACAAATACAACATGTGCATTGAGTAACTTAATAGTACATTCAGAGCGGTAGAATGATGGATATTTTAGAGGAGTGTGAATATTAGTGAATATCATCCCAACTCTAGGTACCAAACCTAATGTCTAAACAAAATGAGCTGAACTACTACAAACTAGAAGAATATAGGTTGAAAAAAGTGTGAATCTTAGAGAGATGTGTTTTAACAGTACAAACAAATAACTTACTGTTTGAGCACTGGTTTTGAGGGCCTGGGCTCTTGGATTAGCTCTCTCATGCTTCCAGAGTATCTGTGCTCCTTCAGAGATTTATTTTCTGTTGTTGTTATCAATATTCATGTCCTTAAAATAGGCCTTGTAACATGTGAAGCTTGTTTCACTGGAGACACCGTTGGCTCACAGAGGTGGTAATAGTTAGGTTTCTTCAAAGGAAAATTTTCAGTCGTTCAGTCGAAAAGTTGCCTGTGCCGTGACTTTAGATGTGACCAGGAGGCTCTTAACACTGGGCTTCTGTCACTAATTTAATTCAGACCTGTCCAGGAGCCTGATTCATCACCTATTATTTATTGTTAATGAAACGAATAAAGCTAACTTAGAATGCTTAAGAACCCCCTCTTCAAATATAGTATTGGTATTTTTCTCTTATGTGCTAGAGAATGTCCTTTCTGGAATCTTTAGTGATTATTTAAATTATACTCTGTCTCTAGATGGAGTGTTTGTAGGACAGCTTGCAAAAAATGATTCCACCAGAAATATTTTTGCATTCATCTGTTTCAGTTCACTAGAATGAATTAAGAAGCAGCAAGATAACCTTTAGCAACGGATGCAATATAGTAAAAATGTCCTGTTTTGCAGAAATATAAAAACATTTAACACACACAAAGAGCAAACTCTAAAATAATCACTAATTCCCCTTTTAAAAATATTCGTTATTAAAATCCCATATTTCAGCATCTAATACTGAAATGAAAAATCATCTGTCACCCAGAGCAAAGGACTGCTTTATAGGCACTGACAACCGTGTGTTGTACATTGTATTCTACCCAGAATTTGTCATGTACATGAAGTAAATATAGACAACTTCTTCATTATGTGTGCTAGCTATTAGCTGAGAAATGTCTGCACCTCAACTTAGAGACGTAAGGAGCATCTACTTGGTCTAGTGCGTGTGTACACACACATGCGTACGTACACACACTTTTCTTAGAAGCTCTTGAGGGCGTTTACTGTTTGAGAACAGAGAGAGGTATGTAAGCATCCATGCTTTGTGGGTACTGGAATTAATTGTGTTGCTAATGAGGAAATGATTATGCTTTTGTAGCTTAATAGCACAGGACCCATAGCATCGTGAGCAACCAAGAGAGGGAGGTGAGGAGGGGAAGTTTACAGGTGTGTGATAAGTGAAGATGGACCTCTGCTGTTGATGGCTTGTTTGTAATTTAGAAAGGCAGATTTATTTATTTATTAAGAAAAGCCATCTCCCCGAAGTCCAGAAATACTCCTTAAGGAAACTCATTAATGCTTTGGCCATCTTCACTTATACTTTTGTACCTTCACTTAAAAATAAAGACAGATAGGTGCCTTATACCAGTGTCATACATAAACAGAGTAAGGACCAAGGCAGGGCTGTAACCATCGCTTTGGTGCCCAGAGGGGAGATGTGACTACAGCCTCACCTGAGTGGGGGCTGCGAGGCACCTGGAGGTACCCACAAGTGCTGTTATCACCTGGGGCTTGTAGGAGGGGCATTAAATCCACACCTGCCCAGTTACTGTGCTGCTACGGGCTGGGAGAAATGTTAGGCTTTCACAGAATCAGAGAATGGTCGAGGATGAAAGGGACTTTTGGAGGTCATCTTGTTCAACCTTAGTCTGCTTAAGCAGGGTCACCTAGAGCTGGTTGCCCAGAGACATGCTGAGGCAGGGGTTTTGAGTATCTCCAGGGATGGAGAATCCACAGCCTTGCTGGTCACCTGTTCAGTCACCCTCACAGTAAGAAAGCGTTTCCTGAAGTTCACAGTGAACCTCCTGTGTTTCAATTTGTGGCCATTGCCTCTGGGCCTGTCACTGGGCATCACTGGGAAGGGCCTGGGTCTGCTGTCTTTGCATCCTCCCTTCAGGTATTTATACATGCTGATGAGATTCCCTGCCCCCCAAAGCCTTTTCTTCTCCAGGCTGAACAGTCCCAGCTCTCTCAGCCTTTCCTCACACGAGAGATGCTCCAATCCCTTAGTCATCTTGGCAGCCCTTTGCTAGACCGTCTTCAGTAGCTCCACATCTCTCTTTCACTGGGGAGCCTATAACTGGACGCCAGTGCTGAGCAGAGGGGAAGGATCACCTCCCACAACCTGTTCTCCTAATGCAGCCCAGGATACCATTGGCCTTCTTTGCCACCGGGCGTGTTGCTGGCCCAAGTTCAGCTTGCTGCCCGCCAAGACCCCTAGGTCCTTTTCTGCCAAGCTGCTTCCCGGCTGTTTGGCTTCCAGCATATTTTGGTGCCTGGGGTTTTTCTTCCCCAAGTGCAGGGCTTTGGAGTTCCCCTTGTTGAGCTTCCCGAGGTTTCTGTCAGCCCATTTCTGTGGCCTGTCGAGGTCCCTCTGGATGGCAGCACGACCCTCTGGTCTGTCAGCTCAGTTCTGGATCAGCAGCAGCAAACTCTGCCTCATCATCCAGATCATGAACAAAGCTGTTGAACCCAGCACTGACCCCTTGGGGCACAACGCTAATTCCTGGCCTCCAACTAGACTTCATGTCACCGATCACCACCCTCTGGCCCAGCCATTCCGACATTTTTCAGTCCCACCTCACTGCTCATCCAGCTCATACATCAGCAGCTTGTCTATGAGAGGCTTACGGGAGAAAGTGCTGAGAGCCTGACTCTCAAGTCTAGGTAGGCAATATCCGCTGTTCTCCCCTCATCCCCCGAGCTAACCACCTCATCGTGGAAGGTTATCAGGTTGGTTTTGAACGTGCTGTTACTGTGGAGGTAAATTACTACTGAGTTTTCAAGGGCTGGTGTATTTTACTCTTTCTATACATGTAGTGAGTGCATGTTTCTGTTTCTCTTCAGGAATTTTGTGAATACTTTTATTCAGTTTAAGAAGCCTATCATTGTAGCAGTAAATGGCCCAGCCATTGGACTTGGAGCATCTATATTGCCTCTGTGTGACGTGGTTTGGGCTAACGAGAAGGCTTGGTTTCAGACACCATACACTACTTTTGGACAAAGTCCAGATGGATGTTCATCCCTTACATTCCCCCGGATAATGGGCCTGGCTTCTGTAAGTAGCTTGCAGGGTAGGGGCTGACAGCTTCACAAAGCAGTTGGGATTATTTCTCCAGAGTGATTTCTAGACTTTTTACTTTTGCTGTGTTTATTATTTTTATTTTTTCCTTTCTCTCATGAAAACCCTTTCATGAGAAACCTGTATTTAGAGCCTCTCTGCTTGGTGCGGTTAGAACCCGGTCTTCACCTGTGTGCACGGGACTTAATCCTACATCACAGGCACCCTTAACCTTGGGTGGCAGAAGGGTTACGTCCTGCATATCGGGACACACCTTCCTTGCTGATGCCCTGTGAAGGCGTTTCCAGCGCGGCAGAGAACGGGCGGGTCTGCACTTCTTCCCTAGCAGAGCTATGGGCAGTCTCGTGCCAGGGTACAAAATAAGTAATGGGGCTTTCGTGCGCTTGTTCTCAAGAAGTTGTGGCAAGCTTCCTTGCTTTGCAGATCTCTGCTGATGTTTAAACGCTAGCGTGTTATGCAGGAAAGAGTCCAAATCACCTTTGTGAAGGATTTTTAATTTTTTTTTTTCAGTCTTGCACTCTCTTTACAGTGTTGCTAGATTGAAAAATGAAATGAGTAATGCTTTGCATTGTTGCTGAAAACATAAGCCATGTGTAACTTAGTGTTCCTTTTCTTGCTTTTCCAATTAGATGAATCAAATGTAACAAAGTATTTTAAAATCTCTTACTTACCTTATTTTCATGATGCTTGCATTTTTTTAATGCCATATTCTTTGAAAACTTAGACCTGTCCCATTCCAATTTGAAGTTGAATAGTAACAGTGTGAAAAAGAACTTGTAGCCACACCTGTTTTTCCTAAATTACTGTGTAGTATAAAATACAGTTTCCCCTTGTAGGTATTTATTGATTTAAAAACACAGATGTTGATCGATTAGAAGCATCAGTTTGAACAGATCTAATGACTAAATGTGTGATGTCAGGATGTAGTTATTAGAAGAGAACAGAAAAGGTAACTGAAATAGATTAGCAGTTATAAGAGTATCTTTAATATCTTAGCATGTTTCAAACTACTGATTGTACCTTTCCCTGTTTATTTGGCCATCCATCCATTCATCCATCCATCCATTCCATCCATCCCCGACCTTTAGAGACTTGTGGTTGTTCCTTTTCGTTTCTCCAAAAGCTGTATAAAAACACAAGTAGTTCTTCCCTAGTGTAGTATTCCATGTGTGTGTTTGTGAATGCTCACATATTTAAATATAAAGACTTAAATCGAAGCTTCCAGTGATAACAATTCCATAATATTCAGTACAAAAAAGGAAAAAAAAAGGCCACTGTTTTCATCCTATCCTTGATCCTCTGCAATAGTATCTTCCCTACTGGGTCAGTCTTGGCTGGTGAGCAGGTCTGTCACAGAGGTGTTTTGTTTTGTTTTGTTTTGTTTCACAGAACATGTTCAATTGAGTGGTTTATTACAGGAAACCTGAAGCCCAAACCTTAGGATCCAAAACTGATACTGTATTGGAAATACTAAAAATGTTAGGACTCATAAATTTGATTTTTGAGTTTTGAAAATGATCTGTAATGGAGATTAGGGTGGTGTCTGTGCAGGCAGATGTGTTACGGAGTTCTTGGTCTGATTTTTTTTTTTTTTGGTCCTGGATATAAATTAGCACAGGAGCCATGTGTTCACATTAGTTCACTCACTGGGTTCCGCTGTCAGCCTCCAGCATGCTCAGCAGTAGTTCTAGTGTTCTTCTGTCAGTCATGAGGGTTTTGCCTTTCCATGGCGCCTGCAGTTTGCCTCATGGCGGACGTCTGGGTCTTGGGTGCTGCAGAGATCAGCTGCCTCCCGATCATGGCACGAGAGAGCCGAGATGCTTGGCGTTGGCGCGCTGGCACGGAAGGTGCCCACGAGCCTCAAAGGTCTCGCTGTAAGAGAGAGACCAGAGGATGTCCCAGGGAAGTTCCTCTGTGGAGGGAGAAAGGCTTGAGTAGAAAATGAGTTGATAAGGAGAATCTTCTATTAACGAAATATTTTTATCTTCTTCATTTCTATTGCTGTATTTGGAAAGTAACTACCAGATGTGTTAATGTCGCAGCAGGTGCAAGGCGTGATTATATGATGAAGCTTGCTTCGTAGCGGGTCTCCCACAAACGCTATGTATAGATCAAAAGTGAAGATGCCAGGGCAGAACATTTCCCTTCAAAAACCTGTCAGCTGAGACACTAACGGGAGGGCTCGTGTCATGTGAGGTTTTCCACTATTGCTGTGTTAGGGCTGGCCTCCGATAACTGCTCCGTTATCATCTGTGTTTTTCACGTGCAGGAGAACTCAGCAGTTGCTGCTGAGTTTTAGGAAACAAAAATAAAAAAATAAGGTACTTTAGCATTCATTTTTCTCCTTGTTACCAAAAGATATATGTGAAGAATACATAGACCTGGCCAGCTGACTTACTTAAATTTCCAACTTTCCTAATGCCCAATTAGATTGACTTCATGTTTTGATCTTTGATTTAAATGTTATGTATCTTATAAAATTATTTTGGAAGATTTTTTTTTTTTTCCCCATATCCCCTTAGGAAAATGATTCGTGTTTCTAGAGAAAGTCGTGTATATCACTGATTTTTGGCTAGTGTTTCAGGTTAGTATCGTTCACATGAAATCTAGAAAATTAGAAGATTCAGTTGTAATAGTTAATGAACCGTATATAGTTGATTTTGCTTTCGCAGAAGGTACAACTATAGGGGTATACAATTTGTACCTTTAGTTTGAGACTTTTTTTTTTTTAAACTAGTATATGTGAATCACAAATCTTTTTTTTTTTGGGGGGTTGTTTAATATTCCTAATGGACAAAGAGTCAGAAACTAAACTACCAGTAGAATCTAGACTTTGTATTTCACTACAAAGTGGCAAATAATAGACCTCTAAGGTTTCAAATTTCTGCATGTGTAAAATGGGAATACTAGTTACCTACAGGAAGTTGCTGTAATAATTGCCAAAAATTCCAATATTGGGAAACAATATAAAACTCAGAATTTTGTCCCCAGAAATGCTATACCCGTCAGCTTTGGGTGTGTTACGACAAACAGCCTTATTTCCCATTTTCCAAGAGTGCAGTGATGGTTCTGTCCTATTTTCAATCTAAATTATTCATTAAGAAACAGTAAAACTGTTGTGGTTTTGGGAGGGGTTTTTTGAGGTTGGCTATTACTCTGACTTTTTAACCTTCACTGTCTGTTTCTGTGCAAGTGTTGCTGCAAACAAAAAGTTTATAGAAGTAACTTTACTAAAGGCAGAATTAAAGTGTAAGTGTAGATGGGTGTAAGTGAAGTTTTAATGGAGAAGCTGTTAAATAAATAGTGATCAAAAACATCAAAACATCAAAAAGATGTTCGGAAGTGGACATCACTTTATTGCATAGAACATAGTGCTCTGTTCTGTACCTTTAAACTATGTACAAGGTCTTTAAAATACCGGTGTGGGTTTTTTAAGACTGCTAACTTGGCTTTGGAAATGACTTACTGGTTCGATATTGGACTCCTGAATAAAATGGGAATGTTTACTTCCTATTAATTTGATCAGAAATTGGAATATATCCCGCTCACTTCAGTAGGTTCCTAATTCTAAGACAACCCAGCTATTTGCATTATAAATGAAACACTGCTGAAGACTTTTGAGAAGTGCTGAAAAATACACCATACGTTTAGGTGTCAAACATTTTCAGCTCTGAAAAAATATTTTAGTTGCAAACTATTTAACTGTTCTTTTCTACCAAGCCTGGCAGTCCTCAGGAGGTCTCCTACCACAAAGGGGTTATCTTTGCAATTAACGGACAATGTAGATTTTTTAGCAGAGATCTCATTGCTGCAGTTAACGTTATTATCAAGGACAAGCTGCTGTATTCCTCGCTGGTTTACAGATCTGCCAGGCATTATAACTATTAATATACACAGTTAATCACGTGAGCATTACTGCAAGAAAGCTAGAGGTAACGCACGATCCTGAACAGGAAATGACAAAAGGCACTTTCACATTTAACCCTTAATCATAGACCTCGTATTTTGGTAACTCCAGCTGTAGCGTAGGCAAGTCTTTTTCTTTGTTCCAGTTGGAAGAGCTGTAATAAAACTATTTCAAATAGCGCAGGCATTTTCCTTATTTGTTTTGAACATTTTTTCCTTTAATGAGTTTTGTCTCATTACATTTCATACCAGAAGTAACTTTTTATCCCTTCAGGCCAATGAAATGTTGTTCAGTGGAAGGAAGCTGACAGCGCAGGAAGCTTGTGCCAAAGGACTCGTCTCCCAAGTGTTTTGGCCGGGAACATTCACACAAGAAGTAATGGTTCGAATTAAGGAACTTGTCACATGTAATTCAGTTGTAAGTTTCCTTTATTTTCTTACAATACATTTTCATAATTAGGTTAATAAGACTGAATCTAATTAGACTACGTCATTACATCCTTCTTAAAAAAAAAAAGACCATTTTCATGAAACAAGGATAATATTTTAGGGTGGACAATGACTTTTAACATGTTCCTTATGTATCTTTCTGGGTTTTTTAAGGATTTTTTTTTTTTTTAAAGTTTGTACCTAACTCTTCATCACATGCCACAGTACATGGTGGTTAAGAACAGCACTGGACTCTCTACAATATGTTTTTGGTTTACCATAGTTGCAGAATTCCAACTTAATTCTAATCAACAGCGTAAACAGTTGCCCTAAGAACTGCACAGAGATCGTGAGCTATCTTGAGTTTGGTTTTTTTAGTTGATTTTAAATGTTCAAGTGATTCAAGGTCTGCTTGGTTATTAGAGCAGTTCTGGATAATAACGTTACGATTAACCTTCACCAACATGGAATTGGGAGTTTTCTCTAGTTGTCAGTAAAAAGCCATCTATACATATATAAATATTCATAGCTGTACTTTTCATTATTTCTGCGTTTTTGCACACTTGTAAATTGTGTTGGTATAGGGTAAAGCAAATCCTGGAGTGTGACGCTACCAGAAGGACTCAGAAATGTTTCTTAGGGTCATAGTATGTCCATAAATTTATAAGTTTGAGTTCATAATAAGATTCAGGATTTGTCCATATAAACCTGTAAGTGCGTGTGTTGCTCAGTTCTCACAGAATACTAACCCAGCTCCCTGGTTTGGGGGTTTTTTTTTGGCCCAGGTACTTGAAGAATCCAAAGCTTTAGTACGTAATATCATGAAGGTGGACTTGGAACAAGCAAATGAAAAGGAGTGTGAAGTTTTGAAGAAAATCTGGGGCTCAGCACAAGGGATGGACTCAATGCTAAAATACCTGCAGAAGAAAATTGATGAGTTCTGATGAGATGCCCATTGACACTGGAATTGTATTTCTTGGACATCGGGGCTGATGATGAAATATGCCCATTTTAAAATGTCAATATAAACTAACCCCTTGCTCAGCTTGGGAACAGGAGTGGATGCCCCCCCCTCCCCTTTTATTGTCAAGGGGTTTAAAAGTACTGTATCACTTAAATTTGAACAAAACTCCTTTCTCCCTGATTGTTACACATAGATATATATACACATGCACACACGAGTGTATGTGTGTGCATATATGTCTTTTATATATATATATATATAT